CAGCTCTATGCATTATTCATGGTGACCAAGACATAGAAACAATCCAAGTGTTCTTCAGTAGGTAACTGGATAATGAAGATTGTGTGGTACATGTGTCCAATGTATTTTTTCAGTCTTCCTTTTAAGTCATGTTAAAAGGAAACCATGGTGTATAGGAAGTCTCACAGTCTAGTTCCAATTTTCCTACTTCTCTAAGATGGGGTAGGGGGAGGTAGGCAGACATGGTTCACCTCTTCACACCACCACATCAAAATTACAACTAAAATATAGAACAACCATCACTCAGGAATGTCAGAAATTGAGCTGAATGGAAGACTGACGACCACAAAATTGAGTTGAATGAAAGTCTGACAACTACAGAATTAAAGAAACCATATCTTGCCCTGGCTGGCGTAGCTCAGTGGATTGAGCGTGAGCTGCAAACCAAAGCATCGTACGTTCGATTCCCAGTCAGGGCACATGCCTGGCTTGCAGTCCACGTCCCCAGTGGGGGCCATGGGAGAGGCATCCACACATTGATGTTTCCCTCTCTTTCTCACTCCCTTCCCCTCTCTAAAAATAAATAAATAATAAATAAATAAAATCTTAAAAAAAAAAAAAGAAACCATATCCAACTTACCAGTAGGAGGGGCACAGACACCGATCTGCCTGGTCCCACTGCCATGTGGATAAAAATTCAGGAGGGATATCTTGGGAGTGAGGAGTCTCAACCCCACACCAGGACCCCCCACCCAGGGTTCCACCCAAGAAGATAAGTCCCCACGACTTCTGCTGCAAAAATCAACAGGAATTGAGTCAATGGAAGAAACTGCTAGAGCCACAAGCAGTTCCTCTTAAAGAACTCACACAGGGACTCACTCCTATTCAGACTAACTCCTCTGAGCTCCAGCACCAGGGTGGCAGCTTGAAAGGCACCAGTGGTATACAGGGAGAAATGAAAGTGTCTGGCATCAAGGTGAACAGAGGCCATTGTGCTTTTGCTAAACCCTTCTCCTACAGAGCTGGCAAGCTGGTGCCATATCTGAGATTCCATCAACCTGGTTAACACTGAACTGCCTTGCAGTTCCCCAGAGGCTCTGCCCCACCCAATTTATGGGCCCACCTAAGCAGCTCTTCTATATAAATGGTTAGTCTAGGTTCCTAAATCCTATCCAACCCTCAACAGCTGGCTTTAGTGAGCCCTAGTAGCAGCCAGATTAGATTCACATCTTGGCTTCAGGCTGGGAATCTCCAAGCCCAGCAAGAATATCAGCCTTCTCAGATTGTTTTATAGCTCAGGCAGGGTGCCCCAGGCAAAACACAGGTGGGGGCTGACCTTGACCTGCACTACCTGGGAAACCCCAAGGCCAGGACACTCAGTGGACAGCTACAGACCATATCGGAGCACCACCACCCTGCCTCTGCACAGCTGATCCTCCATGGATGGTGAAGGGTGGTTTTCAGTGATCACAGCCAGTCCTTACAGCTGACTGGTCTGGGTAAATCCCTGCCATTGACCTGCCAACAGCAACCAAGACTCCTACAAGAGGAGAGTGTATTCAATCCATGCAAAGCGTGCACCTCTAGTAACCAGCTTGGGTGATAGGGGAGGCTGACACTGGACCCTACAGGTCACCTACTACATTAGGCCACACTACCAAGACACAGAGTCAAAGCGGCTCTACCTAATATATAGAAACAACCACAGGGAGGCTGCCAAAATGAGGAGACAACGAAACATGGCCCAAATGAAAGAATGGATCAAAACTCCAGAAAAAGAGCTAAATGAAATGCAGATAAGCAGTCTATCACAGGCAGAATTGAAAACACTATTCATAAAGATGCTCAAGGAACTTAGTGAGGAATGCTCCAGCATAAAAAAGACCCAGTCAGAAACAAAGGATACACTAACTGAAATAAAGAACAATTGACAGGGAAACAACAGTAGAGTGGATGAAGCCCTAGAATCAGATCACTGCTTTGGAACATAAGGCACCAAGAAACAACCAATCAGAACACGAAGAAAAGAGAATCCAGAAATAATGAGGATAGTGTAAGCAGCCTCCGGGACAACTTCAAGAGGTCCTACATTCTCATCATAGGGGTGTCAGAAGGAGAAGAGAAAGAGCTGGAAATCTATCTGAAAAAGTAGTGAAAGACAACTTCTCTAATTTGGTGAAGGAAATAGACATGCAAGTCCAGGATGCACAGAAAGTACCAGTTATGATGGATGCAAAGAGGCCCACTCCAAGACACATCATTTTAAAAAGTCAAAGGTTAGAGATAAAGAGAGAATCTTGAAAACAGCAAGAGAAAAGAAGTTAGCAGATGGTTGCCAGATGGGAGGTGAGTTGGGGGAATGCGTGAAGAGGTGAGGGCATTAAGAAGTACAAGTAGGTAGTTACAGAATAGCCGTGGGGATGTAAAGTACAGCACAGGAAGGGGAGTAGCTGAATAACTGATACACATAAACATGAATAACGGTGGAAGGATTGTCTGAGGGAGGTGGGGGCACTGGGTGGAGGGGGGCAAAGGGGAAAAATTAAGACAAATGTAATAGTGTAATTGATCAAATATAATTAAAGAATGTTTTTCCCACTTCTTTTGATTGAACACCCATTTCATGTTTATCTGGAGTTTATTAAACAAGTACAAGCACATATTTTGGCTGGTTGCTGGAGATGTCTAGAGATAAAGACACAGCTCTCCTTGAACACACTCAGAGATTATGTGATAATCACGACAATGGGATGGGGTATCCCCCTGTGGAGTTTTCACAGCTGAGTTGGAAGACAAGTGAAGAAAGTGGGAGGGGAAGGATAGTCAGGTGAGCAGACACTATAAGACAAAGGCCTGATGCTGGGAAAGTGGGGTAGATTTTAACCAACGGGGTTTCCTGACATGTAAAAAAGTGGCTACAACACAAATATGGGGCATAGACTGCCTCCTCTGCAATGCCCTGGGGTTTAAATACGTTAAGGATTTAAAAAATGAAGATGTCTGAACAGGATCAGATTTATGTTTTAGAATTCACTTGGAGGACTGTGGAAATTGAATTGGTTTAAGAAATTCCGGGGGCAAAGAAGTAACTCAGAAGGCTAACTGTGTTGCCATCATCACAGGAGAATGCACACGTCTGGACAAAAACTGCAGCAGTGGAAACTCAGAAGAAAGAGTCAGGGGCACTAACTATACCTTAGATCCCAGTCTTCCCTACGTGGTGAAGACAGACAAAACAAAACAAGAACAACAACAAAAGACTGTCTCACATTTTTCTCTGTCTCACATGTATTTTGATAATCCAGAGTAATTAGTTAGAAGTAATGTTTAGTGTGCCTTCTAAACTTACTGACACCAATCATCGGCACAGAAAATTCAAAGCATTTCTTTTTTCTATCCCTTTTTTCCTTATTCTCATCGGAACACTTTGCCCCATTGACCACTCCTGTCTTCTTGGAACTACCTTCCCCACATGAGCTGCATGACTTTGCTTTCCCAACATGTTCCCTGGCTACTCTCTTTTGTTAGTTCTTTCCTGATAAAGGAACTGTTCATTTTCTTTCATGTTCTGCACGTATTGCTGGAGGGATTGGGTTTGGTTTGTTTCATGGTATTTTTTTGTCCTGTGGTATTCTCTTTCGATATCATGCCTCAATGTATTCTTCACATTACAATTTTAGTTATTGTGATAGAATGTGAATTTCTTGTCTTAAATTCTCAATGTTTTTTCAAGACACATTTTCAAAGCAACTTTGAGGACCTGCTCCAGTGGCTTACTGAAAACCTGTATCTCTCTTACACAGCCACCCTAAACACGCCTTCCCCTGCTGGACCAAGTACTTTCCTCCTGCGTCCTGTAAGCAGCAAAGAAGTACACAAAGCTCACCTCCCCAACTGTTTAGATTTCTCTGTTCATATAACAAATGCCAACTACATGAAAAAAGAAAAAGAGAAAGAGTGAGTAGGTCAGCACACTAGCCTTGGCTGAATGCATCTGGGCACACAGCTGCCTCTCAAGTTCCTGGAGGACGGGGAACCTCTGTGTCGGAGTTAACTTCAAGCCCCGAAGCGAGTATGATTCAGTGAACAAGCATTCCATTGAACCAACAAGTCACCAGTCTGACAGTGACCTGGAAGTTCTGGGCAAGCAAATGAGGACAATTCTTGCAGAGTGCTCTCAAGATGACACACAACTGATACTGATTTGAAATGGAAGTGTCAACAGACTGCTGAAGTCCCAGCCATGAAAAAATAGATTCAGGGATTTGTGGTCAGGGCACAGTTCACTTATTATCTCCTGACTCTGTAAAAGTCCGTCAAAAACACAACAAAGTAAGAAATAGGGGTGTTACTTAACTCAGCTCTCCCCACCCCTACTGCAAACGCTGTGAAATTAGAATTCATACAAAAGCTTAGATTGTGCAAAAGAACAACATCCCTAAAATTTTGCTTTGTTTCCTTGGTGGGGGCGGGGGGGGGCGTCTTGGGAGCAAGGGAGCAGAAGACCTGCGGGCAAGTGAAAAAAATCAAGCTCCTAAGCCTCTCCTCTGCCCTCGTTTTATGGAGGTGGTCTTGGGGAACTGAGGGTAAATATTTTATTTTATTTTATTTTATTTTATTTTATTTTATTTTATTTTATTTTATTTTATTATTTTATTTTATTTTTCAGTCACTGTTTATGTTCAACATTATTTTGTATTAGTTTCAGGTGTACAGCATAGTAGCTACACAATCACATACTTTACAAAGTGTTCCCCCTGATATTTCCAGTACCCACCTGGCACCATACAATATTATTGATGGAGGGAAATCTTTTTTAAAAATAACCTTTCTGCTGTTCCTGTCGGCTAGCCGCCAGTCACGAAGCCAGAGGTTGCTGAGTCAAGAAGGCAAAGATCGTGCAGCTAGGCGCCCAGAGAGTGTTCAGTCCAGGTGACAGAGTCCTGCGTGCCCCAGGGTTGGCTTGACAGTTTCATCCCCGCCCACTTGCAGGAGAGCGCTGGGCCGGGTCGCTAGCGCACCAGGAACATAAAAGCCGCTGCGGCGGCAGCGGGAGGCGGAGACGCACGAGCTGTGGCCGCACCATGCACGTGAACGGCAAAGTGGCGCTGGTGACTGGCGCGGCTCAGGGCATCGGCAGAGAGTTTGCAGAGGCGCTGCTGCACAAGGGTGCCAAGGTAAGAGCGGCGCCCGGCCGCAGAAACTTCTCTGCTCACCCCGAGACTCACCCTCCACCCTCGCCAAGCCACGGGGCTCCCGGGGAGATACGGAGGTTGCACCCCAAGTGCCCACCTTGCCACTTTCAAAAGCTATTGAGGCTGAGGCTCTCGTGAGAAGCAGTCCTTGAAAGCGTCTAGGAGAAAATCTGACCTTTAACTGCAGAAAGTCAGATCCAAAAGAGGAGCTACCTGCTGCTAATTTACTGTTTGTGTGTCTGTTTAACGAGCTGCGCAGGACCTGGACTCCTCTCCTCTGTCCATAGGTAGCGCTGGTAGATTGCAATCATGAAACAGGTATGAAGTGTAAAGCTTCTCTGGACGCGCAGTTTGAACCTCAGAAGACTCTGTTCATCCACTGCGATGTGGCCGACCAGGAACAACTGAGAGGTAAGAGAGGATCCATCCATCAAGGCGCTACACACCTTGAACTAGCAATAACCTGAAGGCAGCCCAGGGCTAGAGCGCCAGCCTGGAGTAAGCAGGCAGCTGGGACTCCTGTAGAGAGCCTAGAGATAGATAGCTTGGAGTGTTGTGTTCCGGCTGACATCCCAATAGCCATAAAAACAGAGAGAAGGGCTGGGGGATGGGGAAATCCAAGTCAGCTTGAGAAATCCTTTTATTTTAGTCATTTGGCAGTGCATAATGTAATCAAAATTCCTTCATGAATTGAAAGACAGTACTGCTAACAGTAGTTATTAAATGATTAAAACTGCAGATGGAACTTGGAAAGTTAAAAGTGGACTAAGGGACCGTGACAAACGACTTTCCCCAGAAAGCTGGAAGACACAGAGTCCAATGACAATGAAATGTGGCAGGTTTCTCTCTAAAATGTACTGGAGTGCAAGCTCAAGGGGTATCATCACAGACATGCTAGATACTGTTAACCACATGTTCTCTTTGGGTTTTCCCCTATGAGATGGTGCTTTAAAAGTATTCATGGCTGTGCTACAGAAGTAGAATGGCAGAAGACAAGTTTCTGTCAGACTTTCCTCAATGCTTTCCTGTTCCCGTCTACTCACTTAGTATAGAACGATCTACTTGTGAAGTATCAGGGACACTATTGGCATATAAACAAATTTGGTCATATGGAAGCCAAATAGATGTGCATGAAAACATTTTTTTTTCTGGGAAGAGAAGGGAAAATTAAAATATTTGTATCTCACAAAGTTTTATTGAAAGACTGAGTAAACTGTTGGGCACATTTTTTTTTTATCAAGGGAGCAAAAACATCTGTGAAAGTCACTCTGATACTTCAGTTCTTAAAGGAACACTGAAGTGTGACTTTCTTTGAAAATGTTGGGATATTCTGTAAGAGAACAAAAATAGAGCAGAATGTTAGAAGGGAGTGTTCCTTACACTCAAGGGAAATTGTTTTAAAAGAAGATGTGTAATTAAAATCTGCAAATGCTAATAAAGATTTGTAACATGGACTATGAGTATGAGTGGAAGAGATCTATAAACACTGTGCTGGGGGAACATGTTTTGCCAGAGGATAAAGTTTTGTTGATTGCACATGATGTTTTGGATGAAGAATAGAGACATGTCAAATCTCAGCATCCATGTGGATGGAATAAGAAACAGGATAGACCATCTGTAAGCAATTTCTGTCTGAATTTATGTAGTTTCACATATGACATTTAACCTTAATTGTTGTGCTTTTCTGTATTTAAAGTTAGTACCTTGGCTGTAAACACATTCCTTAAGGATAAATGACTGTGGAGGAGGAAACTCAGACACATAATAAGTGACCAGGAGGCGTGTGGCCATGAGAAATCCACATGCCGTCTGGACATCAGCACTTATTTGCAGTTCAGGAAAACATGGCATTGCCTCTTCCAATTTCAGGATTAAGTACTGCCTACAGCTGTTGAAACAATTTAGACATGTGGCCAAAGGAGACTTCATTGGAATCATAAAAATACAGAGATTTTTGGAGAATACAGAAAATGTTTGGAGGTGAACAAGACATAACTCATTTTATATACGAAGAAATGCACCATGGGGGTGGGGGGAGGGTAGGTAAATGATAAAGAGTACCACAGCATAGAAATGCCACCAAGAGCTAGATTTTAAGTTGCTCGAACCCCAAATCCAGTGCTATGTCAGAAAGAAGATGGTGTATTATACATTGGTGAGGGTAGAATATAAGGAATACAGTAGAGATGAAAACAAGAAAATTAAAGAAGCTATTAGACATATATATTCAACAACCTAATTTCCTATAAGGTGGTTGTGGAGTTCTGAAGAGAATGTTCTTAAGATGGGATGCAAAAAAATATATTTTTAAAGGTTTTTCTCTTACTAGAGGACCTTTTCTAGTATCAATTTGACATCTTAAAAAGCACTTAGAAGTTCCTGAAAAAGTAAAGTTTTTATTTTGTTGTTTTCCATTCCAGTATGGTAAAGGGAACATATTAAAATATCTTGGCCTAATTTTTGACAGTTAACTTGCATAATGATTTATCTATTTGGGAACTGATTAAGCCATGCCCTCCTCAATATGTCTGGTGGTTATTAATAATTCTATGACTTCATTTGAATCAAAATAAAGTGTGTGGGGATGTACTTTCTTCAAGGAACTTACATGTTGGGCCCAAAACCTTAGAGTGCGGAGTGTCGCTTAGAAGAGCAGCCACAATTAGTATCTATGGTCCCAAGTAATGGAATGAGAACCAGTGTTAAAGGGCCTGGGGAGACAGTTTAAATCAACAGAACTATGTAAAAGTCAACTCTGAGAAAGAATGTGTTTCTCAATATGCAGGGAGTAAAACCTAGCATGAACTGGCTTAGGAAGGTTTGCAAGAACTGGATTTGTAGTTGGATAATGGAATGAGTGACCTTCAGGTCTCAGAAGCTGTGCACACTTTACCTTGGTTGAACATAGTTTTTACACAAAGGAGTAATAACAGTGTGAGAAAGAAAAGAATGAAATAGTACATATTGAAGTTACAGTAATCAAATAAATCAAATAAAATGAAAAGTTGATTTTACTCACTAGGATCTTAAAACGCCTTGAAATTATGAGACTGGATTTGAATACACAAGAAGATGTGTTTAACATTACAGTTTATGAAGATAATATGACTTATTAAAAAAAGGGTACTCATTGTAGTCTGAGCCCCACAGCTCCAGTAACTTCTTAGGGACAGAGAGATGATGGCTGCCCACCTGACTTCTAAGAGCTCTTAGTGTAGGAGGTTCAGTTCTCTAAAATTTACACCACTAAGTTACTGCTAAGCAAACTTCAGGGTACAAGCAAATCATCTATGCATCTTATTAAAGTTAAGATTTTTGCTTCAGTAAAGTTAAGATTTTTGGTGGTCACAGATTCTACCTTTCTAATAAATCCCAGGTAATGCTGATGGATGCTGCAGGCTCGCTAACCACACTTGGAGGAACAAGGCATTCAGTCGCTGTCCAAGAATGTAATTTTCATACCAGGGTGGATAAATAAAAATTCATTTCATGGCATAGGATATGATGTAAATGTATATGTGGAAAGTAAGAACATACCTATACTATCTCTCTTTTGTCATAGATACTTTCAGAAAGGTTGTAGACCACTTTGGAAGACTGGACATTTTGGTCAATAATGCTGGAGTGAATGATGAGAAACACTGGGAAAAAATGCTGCAAATTAATTTGGTAAGCTATCGTAGCCATGTTTATCACCCAAAATTATTTAATAATGTGATGTTTTTCAAGGGAAATGGTTTTTATATTCATGGAAACAACACAATGACTTATAGAAAAAGTTACAGAAAGCTAGACATAAGGTGATTCCTTTTACAAATGGGAAGATAATTGAGATTTTTAATTATGAAAATAAATCTCTCCTAAAATGATACATGAAAATGTGAAAAGGAACAGAGGTTCTTGCATAACTTAGGAGCTAGTGAACTATGGCCCACAGGCTGAGCTTGCCTGCCACCTGCTTTTGTATGACTCATGAGCTAAAAATAGGTTCTACAGGGCTTGAAAAAAGTGAAAAGAAATGCAAAAAGGATGACAGCCATAGTCATTCATTTGCACATTGTCTGCAACTACTTCCATGCTCCAGTAGCCGAACTGAATAACTGGGACAGAGATGTATGATACACAATGCATAATACACTTACCATCCTGTCCTTTACAGGGAAAAAAATTGCCAACCCTGGCTTACTTATTTATTTAAAAAATAAATCTTAATTCCAGAAATATAACAGAAAACAAGGCTAGAGTGACTTTTAGACTCTGTAAATTATTAAGATTTTTATCCTGAAAGTCAGTGTGTGTGTGTGTGTTTGTATGTGCGTGTGTATGATTGTCACCATGTTTGGTCACTACCTCTTACTTAAAATTACAAAAATATGGAATTAGGAAGTAAAATTTCTGTTTCATTCATTGTAAAACATTTTCATTGAATATCCCATTTTGTAAACACATTTGACAAGATATTGGGGTTTGGTAAAACCCAAACCTTAGCTAAAGCAAAATGTCCCAGCTGAGCTGTGCCGGTGGTCACCCTGCCCTTGCTAAGGTCATTCTCGCCTGGACAGCCAGCCTAGGTAAAGTCCAGGGAGTGGCCTCTGCTTCATGGTGTCTAACCAGGAGATTATAAACTTCCAGAAAAGGAACTGTGTTCTGTTCTTTTTTTATTCCTCTCTCAGTAATCAGCCCACTATCTTAAAGACAGTGCTTGGTTAATAAATGTTGACTTGAATCAACATTTTCAGCAGTAATTACTAAATTCTATTAATAACTTTATGGAAGCAATGAGAATTACACTAGTTTACAAGAGAGCTAAATCTGTAAGCATAACTTTGATAAGGTTACAGAGCTGCTCCCAAGTTGATAGATGTCTAAAGTCCATTAAGTGAAAAGAAAAGCTACTATTTGAAAGAACAAACACCCTCCTGGAATTTTTTTGAAATTTTTCTCAAGTGTTCTTGGATATCACTGTATTTCAAAGTAAGTTTAAGACCCACTTGTCAAGTTTCCCTCAAAATGTTTCTGGTGTGTGTGTGTGTTTAGAAATACCTCACATTTGCTCTTCCTGAATTAAGACAATCCTATGATTTCTCTTTTACTTTAATCTAGTATCATAAGTAAAATGAGATGAAATATTTTCTCATTGTGAAACTTACTTACATCTCTTAGCTAAATTATACTTTATAATATATCAATGTTTAATACACCATTGAATTTAATTTTATATTTTTGTCTCTTTGCTTATAAATGATTGTAGCTTGCAATTTTATTGTCTTTTAATATTTTTTGTTTGAATGTCAGTTTTTCCTTTGCTGACTTTTATCTCCTTGATCTATTTCTGAACAGAACACAGATCTATCTCAAGTGACAGATGTTAATCAACCTGACTGTTAACATTTAGTTCCTCTACTTTACTTCCTAGTTTATACTTCCTAATTGTTTTTGGTTTTGTTCTTTTTCTATTTACTTCTTAAATTCCATTAGTTAGCTTTAATTTTCACCTGCTGGTAAGAAAACTGTACATTTAATATTTAATCTTTGATAATTATCCTGACTTATCATGAACCATATTTCATTACATCCTTTGGTTGCCAAATAAAACAAAAAATTAATATACAACCAGTTGGGAGCTTCATGAAGTTTTAAGAATGTGTTTTCATAAACTTATGCTACTCTTCAAAACCACATAGGGACAAGACTTCTTCTTCTTCTTCTTCTTTTTTTTTTTTTTGGCATCGAGCAGCCCTAGTGAGAAAGCACACGTCGTCCCTCGGCAGCTCTCTCCCTTTGGCTTCACTTTTGAAGTTTCTAATAGTTTCATCAGTAGCGCACGTCTTCAGGTATTTTATAGAACAGGGTCACTAGGGCATAAAGTTCCTATACTCAGTGCAGTCATAATGGACACCTACTGCGTGTATACTCTGAGAAAGCACATGTCCAAAAAGTGTGCAATGATTAGGGTCAATATAAGAAACGTGAAAATAGTGAAAAGATTGTCACAAAGGATTTGAATGATCTGCCTTCCCCTAGCTGACACAGGCCACTCCTTAGTTTAACACCAGAGACTGATGACATTTGTTTAATTATACATAGGACAAGAAGATATAACCTTTGTCACCCATATATGACAAAAAAAATCTGTTACTTCCCTTCCTGCTTAATTTACACCCATCGCAAGAGTAGATTAAAGTCTGACCAATCTTTGTCCTCCAACTTGACTATCTCTGTTAGTATAATGCAAATATTTGTGTGTGGTTTATTGAATAATTTTTTAGACACTGTTCAGAATGTAATTTGCTTCCTCATACAATCCTGTGTGTTCTTTTGCACACTTTTCTATGTTCCTGTCCATGTAAGAGAGTAGCCACTTATTTAAAGGACCTTCCTACCTACCTATCTCTCCCTCTTCTGAAATCTCATACAACATGTTTATACCATTCTTATATGATATACCAATTTTTAAATTTCCTAAAAATTAGTATTTTTAGAATGATTTTTATACTTGTATACTTTATGATAGTGTGCTATGAGGTCTTTCAAGGCAGAAAATTGTTTTGTGTACAGAGTATAACATTTATTGGATAAACTGCCATTCTATAATACTTTACATCCATGGATATTCAATTTTGCATTTTAATACAAAGTTTGGATAATTTCCTAAGACATCAGTATTACCAAACAGTATTATCTGTCCTTCCACTTTGACTTCTTACCAAACTTACCCCTTCCTTATTCTCTGATCTCACCACTCTTCCCGTACAAGAGATACACAAAACCTCTTCCCAGTCTTTTGTTTCCATTAGGTTGTTCTGTACTTCCTCCTTAGTCTGAAGCCAACCTCAGCAGCCTTATTTATAGCTGCTCAGAACTATAAAAGAAGTCTTCATAATAATTATCAGAGGTTACATTGGCAATTGGGCAGAGGTAGATTTAACTTTGAATATAGATAAGGACATTCTGTAATGTACTTATTTTGCATTCTATAGCTTTAATAAACTTAAATAATTTATCTCTACCCAAGTGGGATTTATAATCTAATTTGGACATATAACTAACATATTAAAATTCCTTAGTATATTCATATAATAATTAAACAACATAGATGGCTATTGCTGTTTTTTTCCCCCAGAAATACAAGAGTTGACTAAATATTTGAACTTGGAAAGGACATACATTTAGAATTAGTAAAAACTAGATTTTAGTCCAGAATTTAGAATTCGTGAACTTTTATTTTTCTGATCTTGAATATCCTAGTTTGTGAAAGGATGAAAATAACTTCTTAGGATAGTTAAGCATAAGTAAACCATAATTTGTATGAAACATCCAGCACAGTGCTACTACAGTATTATCCACCTGATAAATTTCATTTCTTCTCCAAAGTATAGAAACCTACATTTTCTTCATTCTCACTATCTCATTTCTGTATGGGTTGGGTTCCTCTGTCCCAGCTCATACCTACCTCTAAGTGAGTATCTAGGTGAGTGATCATTCTACCTCTAAATGAAGAGTTGGAGGACTGGATAGAAACATTGCTGTCAAATGCACTCCCTTTCCTTGGCTACCAGGATGTTGATTACAAATTAAATTAGTAACTACTTTCTGGTATTGCTACTCTATAATATCTAAAGATCCAGTTGAACTATTATTATAGTTAGACAGAACTTGCTAAGTCATAAGTAATTCCCATAGCAGTAAGACAATAATACAGCAAAAATGGAAAAATATTGAACCTGAAAGATGAAAGATGACACTGAATTTCAGAAAAAGGGATCATGTAGATTAGTGTATTTCTTGAGAACTGAACTGAAGAAGAGACAAGAACTGAAAGGCAAAGCATTAGGCCTTGTCATGTGGATTTATTCCAAGAATATTTTCATTGAAAAGTTACGCAATTCTTATCCTGATAACGGTTGAGAAAATTATCCTTCATCCTCCTCCTCTACCAAAGACCTGGGAATCAATCTTGCTTTAAAAAAAATAAAATAAAGCTTACACATTCCCAAATTTTCTAGCTGTTTGCATCTTGTAGATGCTGAAAACACAAAAGTGAGGTGTCAGCAAGCTGTAAATACCTGAGAATAGAAGCATAGAGCCAATACGTGTAAACAGAAGTTCTGTTCTGACATGCTGGAGACTTGGGCGGGAGCTAAGAGCATCTAACTTCAGTAATTTCAGCAATCTACATTTTTTCCTTCTTATACAAACCATTAATGTTTTGTGTTTCCATTTTAAAGAGAATCATGTGGATATTTTACTCATGCTCTCTAAGCCTACTTAATACCAAACTGACACACAGCTTAAGTGAATAGAATCTTCGATTTACTTCTTTGTAAATTCCTAGGAGGCAGAGAGGCAACTCTGAATGCTTTTCAAAAAACTCCCAAAGGACTTTTTAAGTTATAAGAAGGTAAAAACTAATATGTGCCCTCAGTTCCAGACTCATTATCTGTTGTATCATTTTCTTTGCAGTATTACAAAGAATGAAAAAAAGTAGGAATTAAGATGTCAAAAGGAAATTTTCACCTTTGCCAAGTCTGAGCTAGGAGAGAGTTCTTAAATTAAAAGGGAAAATAGGATTTCAAATAGAAGTTTCATATCACAAGTTGTTTTGGGTAGGGGTGAATTCTTAAATGTTAAAATAAAACAGAAAAGGTGCGTACATGTGATGACGAGTACTGAAGCCGAGTGAACCATGAAATGTAGACTCATAAGCTGTGACGAACACAGTTAAGTGATGACCATATGCCCCAAATGACAGAAAGTCTCCCACTTGAACTGGTGAAAGTTGACCTCACACCACAGAACTTCAGTGTCAGGACTGTTTGTGGTTCTGTCTCAGTTTCTTATCTGCTCTTCCATCCGCCATTTTTTTTTTTTGCTGGTTCATCATAAAGATGATAGCAATACTCAGTGCAGCCTTACAAAGCAATGACAAAGGAGTAATGTAATAATTTTTCTGGTTTTCTTAAGAGTAACAAAATTTTCTCTGATTCTTGGCATTTTTGTTCAACCCTTCTTCCAACCTCCACTGACTACTCTTCAAGCCTCACTGGCCAAAAATGGGTCACCTCCCAGCTCCTAAACTATTCACTGGCAAGGAGAATGGTATTTCCACAGATGAATTACATTAACCAGAGTCTACACTAAAGCTAGGAGATCACCTTCTTCTGTATTACATGGGGAAGAAGTAGACACAAATGCAAAATAGAGTTTTTATTAGGGAAAAATGAAGCAAATGAAAACTAAGAAGTTAAGGGTATCTACTCTTACATATTGCAAGATCTAAGATAATTGCATAGGGCAGATGGTTGTGGACTCCCTGGACATGAGAACCATATGCTTCTAATGAGGATAAATAAATTTTATATCCAATATTTAGAAAAGAAAAAGAATATGTAGAACTCGTAGAGATAGTGAGAACTGAGTTAACATTGACAAACACTACAGGGTAAAAATCTTTATCATAAAATCTCAGAGTGGACACCTAAGTGAAGTTCTGCAGAGATGTGATAGCTCCACAACTTCAGGCAAATGAGGGAATCCAGGTCAATGACTAACTTTAAAAAAAAAAAGCCATTTCAAAACCCTTCATTAATAACAGTTGCGGGAATCTACATTGGTGCCTGGGATAGTGGTGGACACTGGTGTGGGATTGTATGACAGAGTGTAATGGCTTTGTTGCTTTTCTCCTTCCTGCCTCTGGACTAGGTTTCTGTCATCAGTGGAACCTATCTTGGTTTGGATTACATGGGGAAGCAAAACGGAGGTGATGGTGGTATCATCATCAACATGTCGTCTATGGCAGGTAAGGATGCTGGTTTTGTTAATAATTATTTATTGGTGATTTGAACCACTAAAGTAGATTGTCACAGTGTATTTATTAGCATATTGGGTTTGAAACTGAAACTTTAATTTTTGCCTTTTCAATGGCTCTAAAAATTAATTTTATAAATTTTCTATTGCATATCAAAAGTTTGAACTGTTTTTATTTCTGTTAAATTGTGACTCCTTAAATTATTTTACTGAATTATTATTTTTAAAATATGTATTTATATATTTTCCCCCCAGTGTTAGTGTTTTTCAAAGGTGGTTGTGAGATTTCTGATGATAATTCATGTGAAAGCACCTTTGACAAAGTGAAAAGTATAAAACAAAGTTAAGGTATCTGTACTCCCATGTGATTTTAGAAAGAATGTGAAGTTTTATTTTTTATTATTTTTTAAGGATTTTATTTATTTATTTTTAGAGAGGGGGGAGGGAGGGAGAAAGAGAGGGAGAGAAACTTCTGCTGGTTACCTCCTGCATGCCCCCAAATGGGGGGACCTGGCCTACAACCCAGGTGTGTTCCTTGACCAGGAATCAAACCAGTGACCTTTAGGTTTGCAGGCCAACCCTCCATCCACTGAGTCACATCAGCCAGGGCAGAATGTGGAGTTTTAAAACACGTCATAGGTACTAGTTGGGGTATACTGTCGGGAGGCTGTACTTTACTTCTATTCTTTAGGTTCGCTGTGTGGGCCTGAGAATTAGATGTGAGGTAGATTCACTGGAGAAAAGCATACAGATTTTTACATGTACATGGGACCCTCTTGTGGAAAGTGGAAACCCACAGAAGTGGCCCAGAAAGCGCTTATGAACAGTGAACAAAGAGAAGCAATTGTGGAAAAGTAACTAAAATATACAGGGAGACTAGAGGAAGAGTTAATTTATTTTAACAAGGTCTATACAGATTTCTCAGCCTTGACTCTCAGTCTCTGATGATAAGAATGTTTCTTTCTCCCTGGTGTAGGTAGGGCATCCTTTACATAGATTTTTAATTCCTGCTTTCAGAAAGAAAAGGGATGTACCAGTGCCTTTCTTGCACCTGCTGTTTTTCAAGTCTTTTTACTCCAAAATAATGCTTACTCAAAAACATGGCATATTTGGAGGCAACCTAGTCTGCCACTCATCAATGTTAAACTGCTGTAATAAATAGACCCAAACACATAATGGCTGAAATATAAGGTACGCTTAGTTGTCACTCACACGCGTCAGCCCAGGCCAAGGTTCTTGCTGCAGGGAACCTCTGCTCTATGCAGTTATTTGGAAAACAAGCCTGGCAGAAGCTTTCTCTTCACCATGGAGCTTTCAAGGTTCACTGTGGCATTGGTAGATTCCTTCTCTCCAATGGAAAGAGAACTCTGAGAAGGCACAGCTGCTTTTTTGAAACACCCCTCCCCCACCCAGTAATGGCAAACTCCACTGCCGCTCACGCTCCAGTGTAGAATTTGACCTCATGGCTCATCTAACCATAGGAGAGTGTGGGAAATGTGGCCTACCTGTGTGCCTAAGGAAAAAGTAGATTCTTGTGGGCAGTTAATCTCTATCACAACATGCCATCTAAACTGCTTTACTCAGGGCAGAATGATTTACTATCTGCCAATATCATATCACTTGGGTAGGAACTTTTCAAGCAACTTAGCCAGATCCCTCACTTTTAAAATTCTAGGGAAAGAAAATCAATGGTTCTTGAATAGTTCAAGGGTTCTTAAGAAATTTTAGAAGTCTGATCAATAATGACAGCAATTCTAAACTATTTATATCTAAAAATAGTGAGACTCTCTTAAAATATCTGGTTGATTTCTTTTAGTATGGTCATTTTAGCATGATAGGTGACCCCACCCCGTGCCCTCCACCTCCCAGCTCCAGTAGTATCTGGGGAGTCATGTTTGCTGGGACGTGTGACCACAGTGGTATCTGATTCTCAGCATTTTTCTCATTCCTCCAGGAATCATTCTCAGATGGTCCTTGAACCACTGAAACCTGCCTCCAATGGAGACTTAGAAATTTCCTTCTGTAGAAGTTCTCAAAAAAAAAAAAAGACTCATTTTCTGGGTTGCTTAAGGTCAAAACGGCATCCCTGAAGTTATTATATAACTAATTCTGTAATTTTTTCAGGATAATCTAGTTATTCCAAATATGACATCTACTTATAAATTATAAAATATTTTAATTCTAAGAATACATTGAAAGGTAAGAGCATGGGCAACACTGAAGATATTTAACCTCGGAAAGGACCACATTTTAGATGCTAGGAGGCTGAAACCCTAAAGACAAGTTGTCAAGGCTAAATCTACATGGTTTTAAAATAAAACCACAAGAAAAAGTACATACATAATTAGAAAATTAACAAAAACTTGCCTGTTTTATTTAAAATATAAATGTAAAACAACCTGGGGTAGTAGTGAAGAGAGACAGTCCCATAGATTCTCTCTCGAGCTAGGAGAGCTAGTAAAGCTTGAACCGTGAATGCTGTACAGGGAGCCCCTTGCCCTGTATCCCAGGAGACACTGATTTCTTCTTAGGAAGGCTGGAGGTCCTCAGGATTGGATCAGTTTAGGACTCTAGAAGAAGTTCTGTACCATAGAGGAGGCTTACTTGCTATATAGACCATAAATAGAGAGATGCAATATACTGCCTTTTATCCAATTAGAATATTTAAATATATAATAATTAATATTCATTGAGCACTCACTGTTTACATGATATTGTTTTAAATATTGTGTATGAGATTATCTCATTTAATGTAGCAACCTTATGAAATAGATTTTATAATCTCCACTTTATAGATGAGGGAACCGTGGCAGGAGAGTTTAATTAAATTTCTTGCAATAGATTTTCCATCAAAGAAGCAGTAGAGCTGGAATTCTTGTGCAAGCAGCGTAATGAAAGACCTCTTATGTCTAATCACTAGAGTATCTTCTATCTATGGGTTTGTCTGTTAATCTCTTCAACCATGTCCATCTTTGCCTGTTAAGTAAAAAGGAAAGAACTACAGCATGATTAAGCCAGTGTAATTTGCTAGTATCTTTAGGCCTCCTTGGCACTGCTTTAATTTTTTTAAAGATTTTTTTTAAGATTTTATTTATTTGTTTTTTAGAGAGGGAAAGGAGGGAGAGAGAGAGAAACATCAATGTATGGTTGCTGGGGGCCGTGGCCTGCAACCCAGGCATGTGCCCTGACTGGGAATCGAACCTGCGATACTTTGATTCAAAGCCCGCGCTCAATCCACTGAGCTATAACAGCCAGGGTGGCACTGCTGTAATTTTTTTAATGCACTGTTAAAATTTTCTTGGGATATATTTATTAACAAGAAAAATACCTTAGCTTTCTTGAGGTCTATGGTCCTTTTTTTTGGAGCAAATATTTCAGAATTAAAATAAGAATGAAAAAATATTAATATATAGTGAATATAACTGATAATAAACCTGTATGATCAATAAAATGGGTATAAACATAAACCTACACTTCATAGAACAGATAGAACAAATGGCTAATAAACAGGAATAAATGGTCAACCTCATTAGTAATCATGATGCAAATGAAAGCCAAAATAAAATGTAACATTTTAGTTATCAGATCAGCATAGGCTTAGTGTAAATACTCATGACTGGTCAGAATGTGGGGAAAAGGGATCATCAAATACTGCTAGTGTATGCAAGCCACTGCTTCAATATGAAAACCACATTACTAAACCTTCAGTGACATCGTAAGCTTTTGCCTCCATTTGACACACAAAGTAAAGCCCTGCAGACATTTGGGGAGCTTACCAGTCTCCAGTCAAAACATGCCATTGAGAAGAGCAATTTAAGGATCATAATTAGAGGTCCACTTTGCTTTGTTGGCTAAGAGTTTGGTATTTATTACACAACCCATACCTGGGTGTTCATTCTCTTCTTACCTATCTCAGAGCCAATTTTGGGGCCATGCATGGATCTCTCTCTAATCACACAGAACAATGAGTGGATGTAAATTCAGTGATAAGATTGTTCTGGTTTTAAGTGATCTGTCTTAGCACTCTTATAGTTAATGAGTGCCTCAGCATTCCAAACTTCTCCTCCCTCTGATGCTCTACCTGACAGGCAGGGTGACTCTGTTTATAATGATTAAATAGTTTATCTTTGTCCCTTCTACTTGATTCAGTCCCTTCATCAGTAGGAAGGGAGGCACCCACCCTTCTTAATGCCAGGCCTCCATAACTGGTGCATTTATACTGTTTCCAGTGGCCAACCTGGACAGCCCCTGCTTCCTCTCCACGCACCAGGACTTGGTCACTAAGGAGCCCTCATCTCAATAAGAGTGTTACAACGTATTTCATTTTATCCACTCACTATGAACTTCTGTTCTTACCATGATGAGATTAGTTTGACAAAATTCAGAAGTTTGTAATAGTAGAAGGTAAACATGGCTCTCTCTGGCTTTGCACTTTCCTCTGGAACGTTATCAACAATGTCATACCCCTGAAGTCATAGCATGTGGGTAGAAGTCAGATGACCAAAACAGTCTTTGAAGAATTCTAGAGTCAAATTAGTTTTCAACCTGCTTGTTGAGGTATAATTCACAAAATTGTAGGAAAAGTATTTCTACCGTTTGTTCCCTTTTGGTTTCCAAACTTTCCTTCCTCACAGATTTTTCTTGTTTTCTTCCCACTGCTCACTCTATTAAAGGCATAGTTGTGGGTTGCATTCAACCCAGCCAGTCTGTCATCATGATCTCGTGCATAGATTCAGTGGCGTCCTTCACTGTCATCGTAAGAACCTTGGCACACTGGTTTGGGCAGAGAAGTTAATGAGTAATGACCACTGACGCAGTCCGAATATCAAATGCAATTAATAAGTTTAACAAGCATAGGAGTAGTTAAAGTGGAGGGTGATTCCTCAGCATATTGAGGGAAGGGCCGTGCTCCAGTCTGGAGGCCTGGAAGTTGTTCTGATCATTGTTAACCGCGTAGACATTTCTATACGATTTTTAATTTGTAAACATAAT